GCAGGGGGACACGTCTGGCAGAGCAGGATTTGAGTCCCTGGCGGCGTAGTGTGTTACTGATGGTAGCCTTTGTTACTTTGGTCACAGCTCTCTGCAGGTCATTCACTAGGTCCCCCCATGTGGTTCTGGGATTTTTACTCACCGTTCTTGTGATCATTTTGACCCCACGGGGTGAGATCTTGCGTGGAGCCCCAGATCGAGGAAGATTATCAGTGGGCTTGTATGTTTTCCATTTTCTAATAATTGATCCCACAGTTGATTTCTTCACACCAAGCTGTTTACCTATTGCAGATTCAGACTTCCTAGCCTGGTGCAGGTCTATAATTTTGTTTCGGGTGTCCTTTGACAGCTCTCTAGTTTTGGCCATGGTGGAGTTTAGAGTATGACTGTTTGAGGTTGTGGACAGGTGTCTTTCATACTGATAATGGGTTCAAACAGGTGCCATTAATGAAGGTAACGAGTGGAGGACAGAGGAGCCTCTTACAGAAGAAGTTACAGGTCTGTGAGAGCCAGAAATCTAGCTTGTTTGTAACTGACCAAATACCGGTACTTATTTTCCACCATATTTTGCAAATAAATTCTTTAAAAATCAGACAATGTGATTTTCTGGATGTTTTTTTTCTCATTTTGTCTCTTATAGTTGAGGTATATCTATGATGAAAATTACCGGCCTCTCTCATCTTTTTAAGTGGGAGAACTTGCACTATTGGTTGCTGACTAAATACTTTTTTGCCCCACTGTATGTTTGAATCCATTTCATTTTATTTTATCTTATCTCCATCAGCTGTAACACGTACAACTACTTGTACACAGGACAACATTTCAGCAGCCCTCAAATCATCACAAACAGAACAAAAATACTAATAAAACAACCTTATCCATTCCCAACCGGTCCTTCATCTAAACATTCACACACCGGCATGTTGTTACAGCAAGAATGTGTGTTAGTTATTATAAATGAGTCATCATTGTGTCAGACCCAATATATTAGACCAAATCACATCAGCTTCTCATTTATCCAGACAATCATTTCAACCAAAAGTTAGGTTACGAAAAATGCCTATTTACAAGTATTTTTAAAATGGCAAAGTGTTGCAAACATGCATTAGAGAACCTTTTCCATAATTACATTTATTTATAGGTTTTTAACCTGTTGGTTATCTAGAAATCATAGAAGTGCACTGCTTAAGGTGGCTGCACGTTGAAGTAGCTCTACTACCTCAACTCTGATCCTCTTATTTTGCAAGAACTTTGGCTTCTCCTTTAGTTGATCAGTTTCTTTTTTTAATATTTTTTTCCCTCTGGTGTTGAATGCTGTGTGACCAGAAGGATTTTTACTGTTTTTTTTTTCCCTTTTTGGATACTTCTTATGATATGTTACCGTAGCAACCATAGTAAGTTAATTTTTTTTTATTACAAAAAAGACTCATAAACAAAGATTTGCAGACTGGTATCCTCTCTTGAGTGCTGGTCAGAACTGAATACTTCTCTGTCATATCTCTTGTCCTTTGTTAGATGGGATCTTGAACTTTAGATCTTCTGCGTTTAAATGTCCTGAAATTAATTTGCCAAAACAGCGTACCATCTTGCTTTACCCTGTCTGTAGTAGTGTATTAAGTTTGATGGATGTACACAGTGTTGTCAAGGGACGGCTTTGAGGCTTGACAAACATTAGGTAAGTTAAGAACAAAATAACCTGTCTGCGTCCCCACACTGTGTCAGGCTTTTTTGGTCAGACATCGATTATGTTTCTCTGGTTTTCTTCTCTGTTTTTATCCCCCCAGGGATAAAATAATAGCCTCCTCTGCATGGACGAAAAAGACCATTAAGTTTGTTTAGTTTGTAGCTTCACCTCTCAAATTTTTACTCGGCTCTTTTGTTGTTGCTGTCAGAACCCGTGCTGCCATCTTGATGCTTTGCGTGATGAACATGCTCTTCATTGATTTGTTGAAGTTCCTTGAAGCCTGAAAAGAGCATGCAAGAGCAGTCTGGCTGAAGTAAAAAAAAAAAAACGGAGCAGAAAAAGGAATAGGGCTGCAATGTGTTTTGTTGGGATTTGAAATGATGAGTGTAATTGGAAAAATGCAAATCTCTTGAGTTGAGTTGAGTTTTTATAAGATAAATTTTATTCCTTATTCAAACATATTGGAATCTGAACAAGTTTCAACAACCTCTGCTGATCATTTAAAAAAAAGATAAAAGCAACATAATATGACAAAAGTTTTATCAATGAAAATATATGCAGAACTTGGAGTATCTAAGAAACACAATCATAAACTTGCTTCCTGAAGCACATCTAGTTAGAGATGATGTGTTGGGATCTGGAGCTGTACCACCTTCCTCCAGCAGAGTGCGCCGTGGGTCCTCCTGAGCTGAGCCTCCAACACACCTGTGGCGCATCTCATCATCAGAGTTCCAGCGCTATATAACCTGCCTTCAGACCTTGCTTCAACACCGCAGTGTTGATCTAGTTTGGTTAGCGACCTGAGCCTTGTAACCTGAGAATCTTAGTTATCTCTAGATGAGATAAGATTCTAACTCTCCTTGTTTTTGCCTCACAGGAATCCTGTCTCTCCCTGAGGCTCTGGATGAGCTTTACCTGCCGAGCCTGTCCTCGTGAGCCAAACCTGAAGACTCTTCTGTGGATTCCCCTGCAGCTGTTGGCTAAGAGCTGGAAACTCAAATCAAGGTGTGCCCTCAAAGTTAGAAGTAAGACGTTGATGCAATTATTGGACTCTGCTGAACAAACAGTCTCTGGACCCAACAGTTTCCTCTCTCAAAGAGAAACCTGGACTCCTTCAAGGTATTCCTCAGAAATATCTAAGACTCATAACTCAACAGTCCGTTTGCTAACTGAACTGTCATCCCTGCAGACTCCAGTGAACCTGCCCCCTGACCAGTTCCAGTGCCAGTGCAATATTCATGTGCTTGTGTTTTCAATAAACCTTGTTAAACTTTTTATCCAGCCTCCGTGTGTGTTATGCATATTGGGCTTACTCTGTAACCAATCATGACAGAACACTGCGGCCAAACTGAAAGCCCAGCAGATCACCTCCGTCGTAGGCTTGAGGAACAAGACGCTCAGATCCATGGACAATCTCAAACCCTCCGTGAGTTACATACCATGATTGATTATCAAAACCAAATGCTCCAAACCTATGCTAGCTACATGGGCAGTGCTAATGCCGCGTCGGCGGCACGACAAGTTCCGGAACCACTTCCGCCTCTCAGGTCACCAGCTGTGACGTCATCTCCCAAGTTCCGTCCTAGTCTCCCTGAAAAGTTTTCAGGTAATCAGAAAGAATGAAAGGGATTTTTGTTTCAATGTCGTCTAATTTTTGAGAACTCTCCTGGCAGTTTCCCTTCGGATAAGAAAAAGATAACTTTTATTTTGTCTCAACTCACTGGGCGAGCCCTCGAGTGGGCGGAGGCTAGATTTACCTCTGAGACCAGTTTCAGACAAACTTTTTCAGAGTTTGTTTCAGAATTCTCCCAATTGTTTAATCAAGATTCTGATCAAACAATTGACTCTTGAGTCCTGCTGAATCTAAAACAGGGAAATTCCTCAGTAGCGGATTTTTCCATCAACTTCCGGGTCAAAGCCGCAGCTTCCGGATGGAACGAATGTGCTCTTAAAAGTGCATATTTTAAGGCACTTAATGAAAATATCAAGGATGAACTTGCAACTCTCGATGAACCTGCTAGCCTGGAGGAATTAATCCACCTAACTATTAGGTTGGACAACAGACTTCGAGCTAGAAATTGCTCAAGAAATAAGAGTCTAAATTTTTCTGTGTTTGCTCCTGCAGTGAATAATGCTTCTGTTTTTTCTGGATCCACAGAACCCGTTTCCAAGCCAAGGCCTAAAACCCAGACTCTCTCTTTGCCTATCCAGGTCTCTCACTCAGTTGAGACGGAAGCCGAACCCATGCAGGTTGGACACACAAGGCTAACCCCTGAGGAAAGGCTAAGACGTTTCAGGGGCAAATTGTGCATATACTGTGGTGAGACTGGCCATTTCATTGCTTCATGCCCAGCTAAGTCAAAAGCCGGGGCCCGTCATGAGGAACTGAGGAGTCTGACGGGCCATTTGAAAACTGAAAAATCTCCTCATTTGATGCTTCCAGCCACCCTGTTTTTCTCTAACCAGAATCTCACATTGTCAGCTTTTATCGACTCTGGATGTGAGCGTGATCTAATAGACTCTAACCTGGTTCTGCAGTGTCATTTAGTGGAATTCCAATGTCTATTCGCTGCTATTTCAAAGAGGGTAAAGAATCATTTGACTAAAGTTTATTGGTTCTTTATTAAGCAAATCATTTAATAAAACATTATTTGGCCAAATGTTTTATTCACCTCATGGATTTGCATTGTGAATTGGTCTGAAAACATTCCAATTTCCAACATTCCAACATTTCTCTAAATTAGTGAAAAGCTAATTTGATCATATCCCAAATTCTTCCAGATAAACTTTGGTTTCAAACACAAAATCCACCTTAAACTATAATATGGTTTTGAACCATGTTCACCTTCCTCTTTGTACATAGTAGTTTAGTTTAGTTTAGTATAGTTGAGTTTTACTAGTCTTAGTTGAGAGTGTTAAACTGAAATATGTTTGACTTGGAGCTGAATGATTTTTGTTAATGAACTCTTATATTTTGAACAGAAGTTGTGGTGAATGTATTCCATGTATGTGCAGAATTAATTGTTTGACCATGATTAGTGCTTTCTTTCATTTATTGTTCTAACACACATCTAGGGCGTGTGTTCATAAACAGTATATAAGAACTGAAATAACATCTGATTAAATAAGATATTTTACCACCCCTACACATCTTAAAGTATCAGAAACATAAATTCCCAGCTAGCTGGGAATTGAACAGAACATAAAATCACAACAGATGTATGAAAAAGTTAAAAGTAAAGAAATAATAATTTGATCCAATTATCAGCTTCAATTATTTACAAGCATTCTCTGGTGTCCTGTTTCCACTTTTTTCTGGTTCACCTGCATTACTACCCATCTGTTGGACACCAGTCCCTTTCATAAAGCCTCTACACGTAGTTTTTGCCTGGAGCTGAAGCGCTGCTGCTATAGTACTTGGCGGTTCCTTCTGAGCTGCTGGACTTGGGTCTGCTGAAGCAGCAGAGCAGACCTCCAGCCATGATCATCAGAACCCCTGCTGCCCAGCCGATATAGATGCACGCTCCCAGCTCTCTGTTCTGAGCATCTGGCACCGAGGGGTTTTTTAATTTTGCAGCCAACCAGCGAACTGGGATGATCACCAGGGGGCCACCCAGCAGCAGGCCAACCCCGGCCACCAGGCAGATTTTGGGCTTGGCATCTTCATTCTGCACACATGTGGTGAAGTCGGCACCAAAGAACAGGATGAGGAGGCTGAGTCCACAGAAGATGCAGGCGATGATGACCATGGCTCGGGCAGCATGCAGATCAGATGGTAAGTCCAGCATGGAGTCATACACTTTGCACTGCTGCTGTCCGGTGCTCTGGGTCACACATGTCATCCACAGACCCACCTGTATTTCCTATTCAGCCAAAGACACAGAAACAGATATTTCAAAAAAAGTATATGTTGTTTTTTCTCCGTTAAAATGTGATACAATGACAATCTAAATGAAAATCTAAGAGATTCTTTAAATTTGGATAGTATAATCCCCCAGCCAAAATGTTTATAAATCCTAATGAAACTTTCTTTAAACATTTGATTAAGTTCAAAATTTCTTACTTAGCTCCTACAATAATACTGTAGAGAAAATGAAGTTGTCTTAAAAAGTAAAACCTGGTCAAACATAATTAATCTGGTGATTTAAACTATAGAATGCCTTTTGATGGTCACTCAATTACAAGTTTTGGTTACCTGTGCGATAAAAATATTGGCTCCAATGAAGGTGGTGACTTTCCAGAGAGGAAGGACACAACAGAGGATGGCCCCAATCAGCCCAATGACCCCAAAGGCCATAGATACCATCTGAACCGCTGATTCCATTCTGCAAAAATATTTACATTATTTTTTTCATCTCAACAGGGCTTTCCTGGTTAAATAAAAAAACATTTTTCTAAATTGTATTACATCATAAATATGAAAATAAATACTGCAAAATCAGCATCTCATGATATTCACCATACCTGTAAATCAGCTTTCATTTCCTAAACCATCATGTACAGGTCCTTCTCAAAATATTAGTAAATTGTGATTAAGTTTATCATTTTCCATAATGTAATAATAAAACATGAACATTCATATATTTTAGATTCATTGCACACTAACTGAAATATTTAAGGTCTTTTATTGTCTTAATACAGATGATTTTGGCATACAGCTCATGATAACCCAAAATTCCTATCTCTTGTTGTGAATTCGCACTATATAAGTAAACTGAATTGAATTAAATTGATTTCTGCCAGAAGTGAGCAATATCAGAGTCAAACCTAGACGACTTAAAAAAGCTGGTCTACGTAGAGTTGTTTGTTTGGTTTATAATAGAGACTGGTCTTTATTCAAAGTTGCACAACAGGCCACAACTCCTGTCTGCTTATAGTAGACAAAAGTAATATTTGTCTAAATATGGACCTATTCTTGTCTTAAATAAAGTGATAGTATAACTTTGTTGTTTTTATTACAATGTACTACACCTCATTCCTGTCGCTTAACTGTTAAATTATTAGTTGTATCTATGCTAAGTTTCTTTTTTTTTTCTTACAATGCTGTTAGCAGCTATTCTGACCATGTCCTAAGTCTGTCCCTGTTTTCCCTTATCGTCCTCATCTAAATCCTCCTGCCTTTCTATTTTTTTGTGCCCTTGTGGCACTTGTGGCACAAAAACAAATATGCTATTAATGCTTATTAAGCTGAGCTTTTTTATTTTGCATGTTTGTCCTTTATTATCCTCCATCTCAACATATTGAAAGGCAGTCATGGCCTGTCGCGTTGGTGCATTGCTGAGGAAACCTACAGTAATATCCAGTCCCGCTCTGGGACAAAGAGACTAAAGATTTTAACACCTAAGTCATAGGTTGACTATAACGTACTTCATGTGCCTTTAGCTCACACATGAAAGGGTCTAAAAGTGACTGACCATCTAACATACTGCTCAAGAGCTCATGATCTGATGTTATATCAGTGACTTTAGCAAAAAGAATGACAGAAATGTGAGTTTGAATAGTTATGTTGCTCTGCGATACATTTTGTTCTGCAGGATAGCGTTATGCTTGTAGGAACTTACATTTGTAACTATAGCTATTTTTATGATTATAATATATAGGTTAAAGATTAAAATCTTCCTGAAGATCAAGCAGGCCTTCTCAGAGATTTTGAAGGTATTAGACATTCTAGGGCAGTTCAGCTGAACAATAATTTATTACAGACTGAAAGCAATCTGACGCCACAAACCCACGTCTTACTAATAAATGTTTAAAGGATGCTGAAAAGTATCAAATATTTAAATAAGACATTTTGTCATTTTTGTTGTAAAGCAATATATTTTCTAAAACATCAAACAAATTCAAATATGCTCACCGTTTAAGCATTATTTTCTGGATCAGTTCTGTTGTTTCCTCTGACTATAAAGGAGGTCGATCATAGCATGTGAAGTGTGCTGCTTGTGTAATTCTGGGTTCATATAGATAGCAAAAGAAAGAAGTTTCACAAGGTCTGGGGTTTTAAGTATCTGCTGTGGTTTTCTGACTCTGAGAAATTAAGACCTTTCTGCCATTAGACACAGGACGTGATCAAGCTTTTGGTCTCTTTTTGCTGAAATTTGGCTAAAAGTCTTTAGTGTTTTTTTACTGCGAAAACCGTCTAGGACTCAAAAACTGAAGATTTGGGGATCTTTTAGGCTTGAAAAGCGAGGCTTTGCAGATTTTGACAGGATTTACAGAGAAAATAAATAAATAGATTAAGGATAGATAAATATGCCATTTTAGCTAAGTCTGAAAAATAAAAAAAATTTAAATAAAATAGCATCCATTAGATGAGGGCAGCCTGATAGAGCAAACATATCAGACTTGTTACTGTTAGACTAACTGAAATCATCAACATTTTAGACGTATTTTTATTCAGCCTCCTTGACACATGGTTTTTTAAATAATTAGACAATAATTATAGACATCTCCATTACCATAAATCTGCTCATTCTATCATCACCAGCATTGCTCAGCTATACATCTTCTGCCAGATTAGGGGATAGCAGTGAGAGCTGCAGTGTGTCTCAGTAACAAAGTTGATGATTTAATCAACAGTATTCAGCTGGACTCATGGGAATCCTACAGGACATATTCATTTATCCCCTCATTCTTTCTGGAAAAGAACAGCCACATCCAATCACCCCATCAGGGAGAACTGAACATGAAAGTAAAAAACATATATATATATATTTTATGATTGCTTGTTTGTGTTTAGATTCACATTGCCTGTATGAACAACATAACAGTTACATTGCTTGATTTAGATTATTTGTTTGCTTTTAACAGTCATGGGCATCATGGGCCTAATAGCTAGTGCAAAAATGGTACATAGAGCAAAGAACAGTTGCAACACTATGTTGCATCTGTTCTGTCCCCACAGGATTTTGCAACTGACTGCTGTGGTGAAGACCAGGGGCATATTTAGGAAATCTGGGGCCCTCGGCAAAAACAATCATGGGGCCCTCTGAATTGAGAAGACAACACATAAAACAGATCCATTATACAGATACAGAAATGTTAATAGAATATACATACATTATTTGTTCTACCTTTTGTCCCTCTCTTTTTGTCCCTATACTTGTTCTATCATCTCTATGTTTTGTACTCAGCTGACTTTTCATGCTGTCTCAAAAGGAAGGATTTTTTCCAAGCATTAAGCTCACTTAGCTGGTTGCTCCTTCCTGTGTTTCCAAAAAGGTGATGGCAAAAGTAAATAACCCAGTCCTTCTTTTCACTGTAGACAAGCCATGATTTGCTTATCTGTTCTTCATTTTTCATTTGTATGAAATAATAGCTGCATGAATCATGACGGCATAAAGGACAGAGTAGAGCAGGAGCAAATCTACTTGCTCAGGAGAGCAGAGTTCGGTGCTTTTATATGTTGTTGCTAAAGTCTCCACTAGCAGAAAAAAGTTGCTAGATTTGGCACCAGGTGCTTTTTTAAATAAAAGTGCTAGAGGAGTCTGAAAAGTCACTAAATATAGCGACAAAACTGCTCTTCACATTGTTTCTTTACAAAAGGTAATGCTGCTGTCTGTTTGGACCTTTCTAAACATGTGCAGCAAATGGACTGATCCAATGAGTTGGACACTGAACGGGGGGGTGATGAGACATCCTTAATATTATAAGCTTTCTGATGGCATTTTAGCAAAAGGATTTTTATCAAAGACATAATTAATGCGCACAAATAATGTTGAATAGTTGTATTAACTATACATGTAAACAGAGTTTTATGGCAACTGCCTAGTATTACCTAATGGTGAAGATGTAACAAAAACATAAAAGTCAATTTAATGTATGCAACAGAGAATCTCTTATAACATGTTAGGTGTCTATTTATTAAATATCAAATTGATTTTAAAGGTCAAGTTAAAGCAGGGGTGCTCAAGCCCGGTCCTCAAGAGCTACTATCCTGCAACTTTTTGATGCACCCCATTTTTAACACACCTGAATCAAATTAGTGGCTCATTGAGCCTTTCGATTCAGGTGTGTTAGAGAAGAGATGCATTTAAAAGCTACAGGATGGTAGCTCTTGAGGACTGGACTTGAGCACCCCTGAGTTAAAGGATGTCCCACATCTTCATTCTTATTTTTTTCCCCCAGTATGTCACAAGCCAGAAAAAGGACAACAGATAAGGGCACCCCTCTATTAAATCTGTTATTTGTATTCAATGTGTTTTAGTCACCACAACCAACTCTGATTTCGTGGGTTTGCATTTTTGGATCCCTTCTTGCCATGTCAGTATATTCCCATGACAGGGTGCTGCCGTTAAAATGCTAGTTTGAATTGAGCTCAAATCAGGATCAGACAGATAACTTTGCACATATATGGAATAAATTCACCACAACTTTGATTCAAAATATAAAAATCTATAAATAAAAGTAATTCAAGACAAAGACATTTTAGTTAAAAACTCTTGACTATAGTGAAACCCAATTTAACTAAGCTGCTAGCTATTTACACATGAAAGGAGGAATGAATAATGGTTAAAAACCATAATCAATACTAGAAAAGCATTCAGCAAAGGTCTGACGGCTACGCAGAGGCAGAGAAATAAAACTCGCATATGATCTGCATCATTACCAAATTGAAATTAATTGTTCCCTGACATGAGGCACACCTCTGGTTTAAAAAATAAAAATAAAAAATCCACAAAGTCTGTTCATATGTTTTCAATTGATCCTGCAAACAAACCAACATTCCCCTTTCTTTGTCTTCAGTAAAGTACCCTCGGACTTTTTGAGTCCAATACTGAGGCTGTCAATAGTCAAAGCTGCCACCCTCTGGTTTATTTGGGAACTGTTAGACAATCTTTAAAAAAAAATCCTGAATCCAGATTATTACCTGGATATATACCATAACCCCACAATACTAAGACCAGAGAGTATCAATTCCAAGACGGACCAAGTCAACACCAAGACTAGTTCAGCTCTATATGTAAAAAAAACATGTAATGTATAGAGTGTATTTCTTTAAAGTTAAGTCTAGTTTAAAGTCATCTTCATTGAAAAGGCGCTGATGTAATATATATATATATATATATATATATATATATATATATATATATATATATATATATATATATATATATATATATATATATATATATATATATATACGGTATATATATATATATTTTTTTTTTTTTTGCGATTTTGCCTAAGTTGTAGATCCTAAGCACAGTTAACATAAATATCAGATTTTAATACTTCAGCTACTGGGACAGTAACACAGAGACATTATAGGTTGTTGTTTTTTTTTCGAACTCATTATGAAGGTTTTCATCAACCGGCAAATATTTGTAGTAATTGCATAACCTTTTTTTCTACTGGACCATCTCCAAGGACCAACCCAAAACACCACCCCCAATCCCCCCCAACAGCACCAGCAACAGCTCCCTGATTCTATTTAGATTGATCTATTTTTCATAAAACTCCTATATATTTTGGTGAGCAATTACAGAGGAATAAGGCTTTGTAAATCCTTTACATTTGCTGTCCTGCTTCATTAATCTTCTTATTATTTTATTATACACCTATTTTTTTAAGTTAATATGTTGGGATTCATCTTTCCAGAGAAATAATTTCTTTCTAGAAAAAATGCCGATGTTCATAGGCTTTATGAACAGGCTTTAAGCGCATCAAGACTTAAAGTCGTAATATGATGGAGCAGGACAGGCTTTCATTATTAGTGCTTATTACTACTGCAAAGGAGAGACTTGTGAAATTAAAGAATATGCCAAACAAAAAAGACGTCTTCTACAACAAAGTTATAGTGTGAAGTTCAGTTAGTGCTCTTCTCTTAGGGAGCTTCTGTGAATCCTGTTAAAAGAAAACAGGGGAATTTATGTCTCTGGAAATAAATTGGTGGTGACTGTTTAATTGTAATTGTGCGTAATATAATCTGCTGATATCAAAAAAAGGGCTACGTTTTTAACAGTGGTATTTGAGTTTTGCAGGTTTATTATTAAGTTTACATAATTGTTGACATATTTATGCAATTAAATCTCTGGCAGATCCTGCCTATACTAGCCATGGACCTTACTGAATGTTAATAGTTGTTGTATAATCAATGGTGATGTTCGGATAAGTCATGAAGAATGTGTAACTTTTCCCTTCAATTAACATGATAACATATTTGGTCAGTCAGTCGGACATGAGCCGCACAGCGCAGGCGCGGAGAATGTGGAATCTGAGGGTGTCAGGGTTCTGCCCTCTGTTTAAGTTTATTTTTAGTTTCTTTCAGTTGTTTTCTGTCAGTTTGTTGTTTCTGGAGTTACTCTCTGTTGCCCCTTGTTCCTGTTCCTTTCTCATTGGCTCCCTTCTAGTTAGTTCTATTCACACCTGCTCCATATCAGCTCATTAGCCCATTCTTTGTTCTGTTTCCCACATATATACACCACCTATGCAGTTCCTGTTGGCTGGTTTCTTGTTGTTTAATTGCTTCATCATCTAATTGTCCCCATGTGTGTTCACCCTGAAATTTATTGGATTTTTTTTGGTTCTCAGTATTTTGTATTTTTGCCTCTGTTGCCCAGGGATGTTTTATTAAATCAGCAAAACTCATCTCTGCCTCCTCATCTCTGCTTTTGGGTCCTCAAAACCTCCACTCAACCGTGACATGGGGTAAGTCAAGCTTTTCTCCTTTCAAACCTAAAGGGGAACTAGTCAGTGAACTGTTTCACCTCTGTTTACTTCCTGGTTTGTTAGCCATCCATATGAAAATTCTCAGGGTTTCCAAAACAGGGGGCTACATCTTTGTCCCTCTCGACTTTGCAACGTGCATGCATCTAAAAAGGAGGACAGGGGTGCTATGTATTTTGTTTGTTTTTGAAACGATGGGTGTCATTCAATATTAATACTTCTTATATATTTTTTTGTGTGAAATTTGTCATTGGAAAATGTGCCAATCTCTTGACTTGAGTCCAGTTTTTCTATATATTCATTTTATTATTTATTTCAAACATATATGAATCTGAACAAGTTTCAAAAATATCTGCTGATCATTAAAAAACAAACAAAAAGAAAAACAGCATAATATACTAAAAGTGTCATCAAACAAAATTAATGAGGAAGCCAAAGAGTAAATGAGAAATACAATCAAAATCTTGTTTCCTGAGGCACATCTGGTTAGGGATTATGTTGGGCCCCTTTCTAAATAGAACTAAAGAAATCATAAAATAAATCACAGAATCATTAGGCAGTAGTTATCTAGAAAAATATTAGCTCTTTAAATCACTGTGATATCTTATTGTCTTGCTAACATTTCATAAAATTTTCTGCATCTTAATATTTATTTATTTTTAGCCACAATATTTTTTTAAATTAAAATTTGATATGTTTTTTAAAGAGGAATGCTGATACTATAATAGTTTTACCAATGCAAAAAAATAACAGTTCAAGTTATAGAAGTAATAGCTGGATTCAGATGTTATTAGCTTAAATTATTTACAAGCATTCTCTGGTGTCCCCTTTCCACTTTTTTTCTGGTTCACCTGCATTACTACTCATCTGTTGGACACCAGTCCCTTTCATAAAGCCTCTACACGTAGTTTTTGCCTGGAGCTGAAGCACTGCTGCTGTAGTACTTGGCGGTTCCTCCTGAGCTGCTGGACTTGGGTCTGCTGAAGCAGCAGAGCAGACCTCCAGCCAGCATCATCAGAACCCCTGCTGCCCAGCCGATATAGATGCACGCTCCAAGCTCTTTCTTCTGAGAATTCTGCACCAAGGGGTTTTTAAAGTCACTAATAGTCATATGAGCCGACCAGCTGACTGGGATGATCACCAGGAGGCCACCCAGCAGTAGGCCAACCCCGGCCACCAGGCAGATTTTGGGCTTGGCGTCTTCGTTCTGCACACATGTGGTGAAGTCAGAACCGCAGAACAGGATGAGGAGGCTGAGTCCACCGAGCATGCAGGCGATGATGACCATGGCTCGGGCAGCCTGCAGATCAGATGGTAACTCCAGCATGGACTCATACACTTTGCACTGCTGCTGTCCGGTGCTCTGGGTCACACATTGCATCCACAGACCCTCCTGTGTCTCCTATTTAGCCAAAGACACAGAAACAGATATTTACAAAAGGATATATTGTTTTTTTTTCTCAGGTAAAATGAGACATAATGACAATCTAAATCATGGGGTTGCAAGTCACAACACGATCCTGAGTGTTAAATACCGAGGTTTGTGTGGTTGAAATATATTGTCATGAGGAAAGAACATTATGTGCTCGAGCAGGCCAATGGAGGTTGGCCCCCAGTGTACAGCTACAAAAGTTTAAATTGACATAGAGACAAATTTTGTGGAAAAAGTGTTTAAGAGCAATGAGGTCCATAAATTTCATCCAGTAAAATTCCAGTTAACCAATAATGAGAGATTTGTGGAAGGATAGCCATTACATTTTGCCTTTAGTTTAGTATGAGAAGACATACACAATTATTCCCAAAAACCTAAAACAGGAAAGGTTTATCTCTAAATCAGATTTTTAAATAAAAAAATGAAAAGGTCTATAAACAACATTTATTTCTTTGCAATTAAAAAGCTGGAGAATATACTTCCTCACAAAACATATATAAATGTTGTAGGAAATTACCTATAACATTAGACTAAGTACAAGATTTCCTAACCCTACAATAATACTAAATAATAATATTTGGTTACCTGCGCAACAATAATATTTTGCCCTATGAAGGCGGACACTTTCCAGAGAGGAAGGGCACAAGAGACGATGGCTCCAATCAGGCCAATGATCCCGAGGCCCACACATACCATCTGAACTGGTGATGATCCCATTCTACAATAAAAAAAAAACATTAAAGCAAGTTGAATGAATAATACAAATATATTTGCTTTTCTGGAACGTTTTCTTCATATTTTAATCAAGGTATTTAAAATTTCTGGCATCTTTGAAGTAGACTTTGCTGCTCTAAAGGTTTTACAGAAAAAAAAAATCAAAATCTTTTTTTTCTCTGTGTTACAGTTAATCTATGTGTTTTCAAAGCACAGTGGACACACTCCCTCAGACAAACACTGATTAAACTGTGCGTGTCTCTACAGAAACTGTGGCTTCAGGCCACATTTTCAAATCAACCTCATGCCCAGACAGGCCTGAGATCTCCAACACCTCCACCCAGGAATGGCTCAACCGCACCCTCACAGCATCCATTATGAGACGCTTCATTAAAGTAACTTTATATATTCAGTTTGAGCAATGCTACACCTGTTATAGCTGAAATTATTCACATCTGGTAAACTAATACTTTTACATCTGGAGAGTTCAGAAAAAGTTGCTGAATAAAATATTTCAGTGTTAACATTTTAAGATTTGCTTAATTCTTCAGCTTCTTGTATGTAAGCAAACATAAAAAAATAGGTGACCTCAACTAGGAGGTATTCAGATTTCAATAGGAATTATTTTAATTAATTAAAAAAGATATTAGTTTAGCTTTTGCACATTTGAAAAAAAAATTCCCTAACCTGGATTATGAACTTCCAGAGCAAAAAGACGAAAGAAAAATACTAGTTTTTGTTTTATTTAATACAAATTATTTAAAAAACAACTATTTCCTTAAAGAATTAACCCAACTGTTTCCTCAATCAATTAATATTGAATAAAATATTTACTTACTTATTTTCCTCTTTCTTTAAAAGCCTTTAGATGGAGTCTTGAGATTCTTCCTTGTGTTTTAAGCTGTTTTCTGATGGACAAGAGTCGAGCAGCTGCTCTATAAGAAAATGCTGGTTACTTATAGAGGAATGTCAGGTGTGGGTGGGGCTTAACTTCAAACATATAAACATAGGAGGAGATGAGAAGTTGGGACAAGTGCAGACATGAAGATGTACCCATAGGTCTCTCTATGTCCCTGTTCTTGGTGGTGGAGTGAAAGCTCAAAAGTTTCCAGGATTCTAATAACAAATAGCATTAATTCACCTAAAACTCACTAGTATGACACAGATGATGCTGTGTGAGTTATTAGTTGCATCCATAATTACTTTGAAGAGACAGATTGTGATTCATCTGGAAGACTTCCAGTTTTTCCCATAATAATAAGTCAACAAAAACAAATCCAACACAGTTTCCATAGCTATCCCAGATCCCTCCTCTTGCATCCACACCCGTTTGTGTCGAAACCAGTGACGAATGTTGGGATTCGAACTCTCGAAGCAGAGACGCTTAGGTCTTGACTCATCAAATAGGTTTCATGGATCACGAGAAAGAGATGAGTTAAGAAATAATAAGGAACGTCAGCTGTAAAAATAGACCTGTTAGTAGATGTGGTTAGTCTTATATAAAATCAATTACAAAATCAAAAAAAATCAACGATCTAACAGCATTGAAAAAGCACAATGGGGTGCAAAAAAATAGGAAGAAATATTTTTAATGTATGTGGCCAATGAGTGTCTCCTCTTTACAGATAAGATTCATCTCCATTAAGTATTTTTAACTTCAAAATAATAGTTCAGACACTCATTCTCACTTTGATTTCCTGATTTCAAAAAAAGTCTGAGTGAATATAAAAAGCATTTCTTATTTATGATTTAATTTATTGGGGGAAATATTAAGTAAATGTATAATAGGAAGTGTTGTGGCAAACTTAAGTGATAGCCACATAGAGCAGCTTAACTTCAGTTTGACATGTCCTCAAGTTGTAGTAAAAATATGAACAAATGAAATGTCCAGACTTAAATGGCAACTTAATGGTGTGTTTAATGAGGTCTAGAATGAAGAAGATTTCAGGGAATCCACAGATAATAATAAAAAAAAGATTTAGAAAAACGATTTAGAAAAAAAAAAATTTTTTTAGCAGAGCAAAGACTTAAGTTTCCAGACAAAAGTCTATTTTTTAAGAGAGATTTTTTTCCCACTCTGATTGTAAAAATATATATATATATTTTTTAGAGCTTTTTTCCCTTGGAAATCATATTTCAAATGTCAAAATATCTTTTATTTATTGTATGACAAAATATTTTCTCTCAATGTTTTTTCTTTAGTCTTAAACAACAGCAATCTTTGCTATCAGTGTGAAAATTTGTTCTCTTATTTGTTTTCTCACATTTTAATGTCAGTGTTTTTTCCTCTCGCGCTACTCCCAAGTCCCGCCTATCGGTGTAACATCATCGGATCTGTCACTTTGTCGTCACTATTCACTGTGTATATAGCTACGTGGAGGACGAGAGACACACAGTAGCACTTGGTGAATTTTAACTGGCAGCTACTTCAATATACGTTTAAGTAAAATTTAGGAGACGGGTTGGTTAAAAAGATTAGAGATGCCACAAATTCACTGAGATACACAACATTCAATAAAATATAACCAATTTTACCAGAAAGTTTACAAGAAAACAAATATGCTATACTATTAAATTCCACATATGATGGATATCTTTTTGTCTTTTGTAACTCAGCAAGACTCAGAAATAGCTGTGGAAGTCAACCCAGAGGCAGCCAAACTCACAGGACATAGACTTAAAATTAAAATATAAGTGAAAATATAAGTATAAATAAAAGTGAAAAAATTATTTCTGATATATATCTTTCAATATATAGACTTTGGCTGTCAACGATATGTAGGACAAATTTCTAAGTTTGATTTTGCTGCTTGTGAAATAGGATAATCACTGATGCACCTGAAAGGGAAACTATCCATCAATCCATCCATATTTTTCTGGATGGCAGGATGGAACTGAAATTGTACATTCTAGGGTTATATCGATTTTGGCATTTTATTTATACATCAATGTTTTTAGGGCCCTTTATAAATAATGCACTTAAAGGCATCTGTCTAAATATCTATAAATATCAGTGTATTATGGTACTCTTGCTCTTAACAATAGGAAAGCATTAAATAAATATGCTATTTTTTTTTTTTTTAAATACATGAATACATTAATTTAATTTTGAACCTAATGTAAGTGTTCAGGTGGAGTAACTGTACAGTAGGTCCATCAGCCCCCACCTGAGTATCCCCACCAACTTTCATCACAGTTACACCATCGTCTCCAATATATTCATTTTACTTTCAGACTTATTTTCCTCTTTCACATGGCTTTTTCAGTAGTTTGATAAAAATACAAAAATAAATCCAGTATATATCAACAATGATACAATTTTAAATAGATTTTTTTTTCTTTAAAATTTCTACTACTCCTGCTATAGAATTGTTGAGCAATTCAGTTTTACAGTGTGATATGTTTACTGCTCACAAAAAAATAGACATTTCTGCTATTATTGAAAACTTCACAGTAGACTTTCAAGCAATCTGCAAGCAACATAATACTTTACAAACGTTTGTAAAAAAAACTGAAAAAAACACACAAAACAAGTGGACACAGGGGGAAATTCCCCTGCATTTTTTTACTGTCCAAAAACAATGTTATGCTACGGTACACAGACACTTGTCGAGCACTAGGGCGAAGCGACCGCCGCCCAAGCTGAGACATCCTTTTGGGCGCTGATGTAATTTGGTGGCGCCATCTTGAGGCGGTCGACAGATGACAGCTCTGCTCATTGTAATGTGGTGAGCAGACACAGAATCAATTGTAATCAACTTTAACTCGCTGAATAATGAAGAAATATTCACGTTTTTTGTCTGTTTTTTTTTTCTTTTTGCTAAAACAAAAAAATAGTTTAGTGCATTTTAAATATTTTGTACCGGGGTTAAGAGTTATTTAATATTCAGATGGAATGTATGTATGTTGCACATCACAGCCACTCATACATTGATATAATTTTTTTATTACTATATACACAAACACATTTCTACAAGTATACACAAAAATGTACACATACCGTATTTCTTATTCTCTCTATACACACACACACACACCTAGTCGTTCTGCAGTCATAGTGAGGACAATGTGTTGACTCCCATTGACTTCCATTGATTTTCAGTGTTTTTCAACCCTTTCTATGCCCTAGTCCTAATCCAAACCATTAGCAAAATAACATGTGAGGACCGTCAAAATGTCCTCACTTTGCAACAACTGGTCCTCAAATTGAAGGTGAAATTAGAGAATGGTCCTCACTCTGAGGGCTCGACAGGTACACACACACATAATAACAAACAAACAAAATATATATGTATATATATATATACCGTATATATATAAATTACATCAGCGCCTTTTCAATGAAGATAACTTTAAACTAGACTTAACTTTAAAGAATACACTCAATACATTGCTAATGTGCTAAATGACTATTCTAGCTGTCTGGTTTTTGGTGCAATATCTACATAGGTGTATAGAAGCCCATTTCCAGCAACTATCACTCCAGTGTTCTAATGGTACAATGTGTTTGCTCATTGGGTCAGAAGGCTACTTGATGATTAAAAAAACCCTTGTGCAATCATGTTCACACATCTGAAAACAGTTTAGCTTGTTACAGAAGCTACAAAACTGACCTTCCTTTGAACAGATTGAGTTTCTGGAGCATCACATTTGTGGGGTCAATTAAGCGCTCAAAATTGCCAGAAAAAGAGAACTTTCATCTGAAACTCGACGGTCTATTCTTGTTCTTAGAAATGAAGGCTATTCTATGCGAGAAATTGCTAAGAAATTGAAGATTTTCTACAATGGTGTGTACTACTCCCTTCAGAGGACAGCACAAACAGGCTCTAACCAGAGTAGAAAAAGAAGTGGGAGGCCGAGTTGCACAACTGAGCAAGAAGATAAATACATTAGAGTCTCTAGTTTGAGAAACAGACACCTCACAGGTCCCTAACTGGCATCTTCATGAAATAGTACCCGCAGTAGCCTGTTTGTATAAATAAGTACAAATTATATAGACTATTCAGTAGTTGACTTGGATTATTGCACTTGTACTGCAGAGATTTACTGTCCTTATAAATAAGTAAAAAATTACACATACTACACAGTAGTTGGCATTTGTTATTGCAAAGAAGAATATTGCATGAGTGACAATAGGTAATGTTTTGCATATGATGTCCAAGGAGGGGAGTGCTGACCCTTATTCCTCTTCCTATCGCCTCCTCCTTCTCCCAAGTGAGGAGTTGTACAGCTTGATGGCTTGAGGAACAAAGGAGTTCAATAGTTTATTGGTCCTACATTTGGGGCGTAGCCATCTCCACTGTTCAGGCTCCTCTTAGTAGTGTAGTGAAGACAGTGTGTAGAGGCTGGCTGGCCTCTTTAATTGTAAACAAAGGCTACTGTACCAAATATTATCTCAGGTGTTTAAATACTTATTTGCAGCTGCACCATACAAATAAATAGCAATAATAAATTCAAATAATAAAATAATAAAAATCTTACATTGTGAGTTTTTTTTTTTTTTTAGTGGACATGCACCTACGATGACAATTTCAGAACTTGCAAAATAGCAGGGTGTTCAAATACTTATTTCCCTCAGTGTACATATAAGAGTAGATCCCTCACTGAGTGTCACGGCGCAGAAAGTATGGGCGCCATCTTTGGGAGGTCGATCTGCTACCCTAACCTGCTGGTTTGAGCAGGTCTATCTATCTATCTATCTATCTATCTATCTATCTATCTATCTATCTATCTATCTATCTATCTATCTATCTATCTATCTGTCTGTCTGTCTGTCTGTCTGTCTGTCTGTCTGTCTGTCTGTCTGTCTGTCTGTCTGTCTGTCTGTCTGTCTGTCTGTCTGTCTGTCTGTCTGTCTGTCTGTCTAAAATAATTTAAATTATTAGCGAGTTAAAGTTTATTAAAACTGAATCCGTGCCTGCTCACCTCATTACACTTAGCAGAGCTGCTGACCGCCCTAAGATGGCGCCACCAAATCTCGTCAGTGCCCATAGGT